TATTTATATATAAATATATATATGATGAGCATAGGCAAAATAAATGCATCATCAACTTCAACAATATAATGATGTTTTATACCCCTCCATCTTAAATTATAGAGCACTTTTGAAAGAATTTTTTCATCCAAAAATATAAAAAACTTTGAATATATTACGTTTTATTAAATGCACTAATTTTAAATTTACCCTTTCTCTCTTTATAATTAATTTTATTTATTTTGTTTATTTAGAGATCTAAATATCAAAAAATGAAAGTGTAGGAACTCAAAACATTGAAAAAAGTGCACAGGACCAAAAGGTATGCTTTTCCTTCTATTTATAAGTCATATATATATATATATTTACAATTTTCCATGTTATGTAAATTTCAGTGTCTATAAGTAGACCGGCTTGTAAGTGATTAATTTTTTTTATTTGCAATTATACATATTTTTTCCTTAATTAATTACTCATAATTTTATCTCTCCCACAGGTATATAATTTAAACAAATTAACGACCAATAGATTCCTAGACCCTATCCACATTCCAGAGTCTTGAAACAAAAATTCCAAGCTAAGTTTCGATAGTGATACATGCGTATGCGGAATTGAAAATCGTACGTTGTAGGAAAGCACCAAGAAAAGAAGAAACTCAGAACAAGTCAGAATTATCAGTTATTAGAATTCTTGTGGATATATTGTCGACATGAAGCTTGGAATTGAAAACATAACGCCAAAGACGAAGACCCTCTTGTTCGTCTGTTTAACGTAATTCATTTGATGTTTTATCTGTCAAAAGAATGGCAGCTTTGTTAATAATAATATTCAAAGATATATAATTTGAATATATATATATATATATATATTTGCGCATGCACAAGAAGAATATTATGTTATTGACCAAAAAAGGAAAAAAATTCCTTTTTATTCTGTAAAACATTTTTTAAAAAAAAATATTTTAATTTTGACTAATAATTATTATCCAATCCTTTTTAACAATCTCCTCTAGAATACTCAGGATAAAGAGTAGAAACCTTCCAACAAAGTTGTACACATATAATGATTAGAATAGAACATCTAATCGCTTGATTGAATTATGAGAGCTTCTATCATTTATACCAACTTAAATTGGTAATACTTGTAGATTTTACATTCTATATGATATAATAATTAAATATATCATCTTGACATTTTATAAATGATAATATGATTATACAACCAAACTATATATCTATCATATCATTAAATAAAAATAACATTATCATATACAATTAAAAATGAAAGAAAACATATACTCCCAATCCTTAATATATATATATATATATATATAAAACCTGATCAACTTTATGTTTATTAAGAAATAATAGTTGTATTTTTAAATCTATTAAAAATGTACAACTTTTAATTTTATGGTTATTTATATTTAATAATCACAATAAATTGTTGTCTATAAATTCAAATAATAATAAATAAATCAGGGATAAAAGTAAAAAATAATTAATCTAACTTTATTTTATATTAAAGATTTAAGAGAATATATTTACCAAAAAATTTAAGAGAATATAAAAAAAGAGTAAATGTATAAATTTAATCATGAATTAATGTTTAAAAAGTATCTGATATTTTATATTATAGATAATACAAAATAAATCATTCACTGTATAAAAAACGTAGCACTCATAACCTTCCGTTAATCTGATAGTAACGTCTGTTTATTTTTCACCTTTGAAGGCCCACATTCTTTTATCAACAACCTCTCTCCAAGATCTCAGTCCTTATCCATTCAATTGCCTTCCTTCCTCCAGCACTGACCACCACACTTTTCTGTCGCCGGCGAGCTCCAACGTTCTCAAATCAACAAGCTCAGAAACCTTCGAGTCATCGAGCGCTTCATTTTTATCAGTATTATTATCAATGTCTGCATATGAGTCATTCATTCGCTGTTGTTGCTGACCATTTTATCAGTATTATCGCCGATTCAACTCGATCCCGCTGCTGTTAACGACAATCAGAAGAAGAGCTTCCAGTGAAGTTGCAGTCGTTCATTCCTTGGGTATACACTGCAATGTCCAATGAAATTATGCTCTGCGTCGCGTAAGGGTTAAAACAGAGCTTGGAGATGAAGCAATGGCATCCTTAATTTTCAACCTCTCGATCAAAAACATGGGATCATGATATGTTCGTTTACCCATGTTGTCGGTGGTTTCGGCCATGTTGGGGTCATCGTGGAAGCAATATCCCCTGAAACTCGGGGATGCAATGTCGCAGAAGGCATATCATCGCTCTCAATGGTGGAAGAACGTTAACGGACTGAGGCTTTATGCGGCCGTGTTTCTTGGCCTCTTTGACTTCGACCAAAAGACCTCCTCATGGTCGGCCGGCTTGACGGAATCGGAGGAGGAAGAGGAGCGAGGGGACTTCTTAGAGATGAGTGAATATGATTGTAACCACACATGGCATGCCAGCTTGTTTTTCTGGTCAAAAAGATGGTCAATAAACGAAAGTTTGTTTAAAATATATGACAGTTGCTATATGCTATATTTTTCTACCACATCATGTGACTAATTCAGTAATTTGCACCTTTATCTTATAAAAAAAAATATGTAAAAACCTATAGTTATAATTATAATTATGATATTAGCAAGCGGTCAGAGGTGACAAGTGGCAGTAGGTGAACTAAAAGATCAAGTATCAACAAAACGACATGAAGTCTGACGGTCATAAGCTATTAACGTAGTTTCTAGTTTCATTGCGTGACAGGCGCGTGGTGGAACCTTCCACGAAAAATACATGCAATTGTTTTTTGCCCAAAAAAGAAATATATGCAATGCATTCATTACAATATCCTCCTTGAATTATATAAATATATATATATATATATATATTAATTATGCGACATAAGTGATTATGCAAATTTGACAAATTGAAAGTTAAGAAATTACACGTAAATTCTTGCGTTACGCCAAGTATAGTGAAAAATAATAATAATAATAAAATCTTGCCCCCACAAGTCAGACTGTATAACTTGTTAAATGATTTAGTAAAATTAGAATAATCAATTCTTTTTATCATTGTAAAGTGCGCATAAATTATTTATTCAGCATTAATTGTTCCAAAATCATGATTTTATTTGGTGAAAGTACATTTTGGGTTCTTTAATTACTTTATATAAGGTTTTTTTCTTTGTTAATTTAATAATGTATTTTTTCAATCCTATAACCCTGATAATTAGTTCTGATATTTGTTTCTCTTCTTCATATCGATTGTTAGTTTAATTAACAACACTCATAAAGTTAAGTCAACCCCAATATATATTTTTCGGCCATAAAAAAGTCAACTCTAATATATAATTAGCACATCCTAAAGTGTCTAATACGAGGGTTTGGAAGTAGTCATAAATGTTGAAAGACGATTAATGCTTAATTATTGATCGAATTTTTTCACAAAATATATATAATCAAGCAAACTTATATAGACGTGCAATCATTCGTCTTTATAGGCATGCATGCGTATCTATGTGTCTCTATATCTATATACATGGGTTATAAACGATATATATATAGTTATTCACTTAGATTTTGTAAATTTTTATAAAGTTTTGTTGATGTGTGCGCGCGCGCGCGCAAATTCATGGATCCAATACTCCAATCACGATAAGTTCTTCATTTATATTCGAGCGAAATAAGTATATGTACTTGGAAGACAATACTATAAAAAACGCGAACGAAAAGAGAACAAAAGGGGAATTCATAATTATAATTTACACTTTTTTTGTAAAGTATTCAAAAACAATAATCAAACTCCTCATCATGATAAAAGGAAAAATTGGATTGCAAATCATCGCATCCACTAAGAAAACATATTTTATTAACTTAATTGAGTGTCAACTTTGATCGATTTATAGCTATAGATGTACTCCCTCCGTTTTTATTTATAAAAAAAATATCATTTTTATTTATTTTTTTATTTAAGTAAAATTGCATATTTTAATAAGTATTTATTACATATTTTTTAAATCACCCTTCATAATTTAAATTAATAAAAAATAATTAATGTATGCTTATGTTGATTAACAGATGACATTTTAATTTAATTTTTTTTATTTTTATATATAATTATTATGATTAATTAATTTTTTTAAACTGTATAATACAATTTTTTTTATATATGAAAACGGTGGAAGTACTTAACAGCTGTATACCTGGCTAGATGTTAAACTTAATCACCATTAATACTAAATTAAATCAAGTCAAACTCGAGATCGGATTCATTATTAAATGACAAACAGCTCGGTTTAATTTGCATAGGATTTCGAAAACAAATTCAAATCATAGTTCTCTCTCTCAGGCTCTAGATTCCTTCTGTTTATTTTAATTTAACTATTTAATCATAAAAATTATATCTAAGAATTACATTTATAGATAAATATGGGTGGATGTGTAACAGGCCATTATTCGTATCATGCATGGATTTCAATGAACTATTGGATATTTAAAAATTATAAATGGAACAAAATAGTGAGAATAACATGTGTTCCAGACAAATATAGTAAATTACTAGCCAAGCAAATTCAACCAATCATAATTTGGTATTTTGTCAAATACAAGGTGTGCCCTCTAGCTTTCATTAATTAATGAGAAAGAAAAAAGAAATTGTGCGATTCACACCTCAATTTTTTTAAATTTGGTAAGATTTCACAAAACATAAAACGTGTCAAATAAAGGGTCCAATATGAATATATAAAATACTAAAATAATAAATGTTGGATTTGTCAACATAGAGATATTTTGGGAAAAAGCCACAAGCAATTAGCCAATAGCCCATGCCTTCACAAAAACAAAGAAAACTACGAAAAGTTAAATCGCTCATGGAATACACCACATCAATCATAAATGAATACGAACAAAATAAACAGTTTTCTCTTATTTCCTTTTTTTGAATTATCAATTATTATAATTATATATATTATTTTACAATTTTGTTGCACCTAGTTTCAGCTTTTCTTTTGGCTAATAATATACAAACTTCCTTTTGCAATTTGCATCTACACCATCACATGTAACATCATTTTTCTTCTCCCACTATTCAATCTCTTTCTTACTCCACAAGTCAGACAATTTCCAAAATTCAAGAAAACAGAATACTTATAAGAGAAAAAGAAATATTTCAATTAAAAGCTAATGTTACAAAGCTCCAGTGATCTTTGGCTTTTTGGTACATTCCAACGAGAACAGATCCATCTCTCTTCTCTTCCTATTGTAACACCCACTTGCAGGAACAGCCATGGCATCTGAATTGGGCATCTGCAAAATGTTGACCCCAAATAGTCTTACCATCTGAACCGGCTCCACCACTGGACCGGCCGGCTCAACCAATTCACCCCCTGAAGTAGTACTGCCGGTGGCGGTGCTAATTCTGGCTTTCTTCCAGTCGATGTAAAGTTGCCGGTCCGGTCCAGTCGAGCGGGAGAAGAAAACGGAGTCTCCGGCTTTGAGGTTCTTCTCCTTCACGAACCGACTCCATCCCTTGGTCAGAACGTAGCTCTGGCTACTGTTCCAGTACGAGTACCTGAACCTCCACACCTTTCCACCTCCATCCTCGAAATTCAACAGGACGCCCTTCACGGCCGCCGTGGCAGCCGTGTACGGCGCGGAGATCCCTCCAGGCAGCGGCAGGGGGAAGTGCTTCTCCGCTTGCTGCTTCGGGATCACTAGCCTGTTCAGCTTTCCCACATCGCTCGGCGTCACCGCCTTCTCGAAGAGCTGATCACGAGTGTTCTTGACCCGACCCGAACCATTGGATCCTTCCTTGAAGATCCGGTTCCCGTTCGCGTCCACCGTCAATCCGTAGTTTCGCTTGAACTGTTCCAGCTCGTCATTGTAAGTGTGCTTCCTGAGCATGTCGACGATCTCCGCTTTCGAATGCGCGTTGAGGAACGCCTCTTCAAAGTCGTCGTCGTGGTGGTCGGCACCGGAGCCGGCGGCGAGAGGTTTAAAATTGGTGATTGCGTCTCGCCCACGAAATCTCTGTGCGGCGATGTCGTACGCCCTCGCGGCTTCATCTTCTTCATTGAAAGTACCCAGCCAGACTCGCTGATGCTTCTCGTAAATCTGAGCACCCCAACGGCCATTGGGCTGTGGTACGACCCCTTTGTATTTCGACGACGGGAGTTTCCGGGACTCGGCTTCCACTCCGACGATGTCAGAATCCACGATGGTGCTTGCACCGCTGCCGACGCGGCATAGACTGTTGGGCGGCGGCGGCGATGACTTCTTCGATGGAATTGTCACCGGAGAAAGGGAAACAGAAACTGAGTCAGTCGTAATGCTTTCATCCATAGAGCTTCCTCCGTCCATTGCTTGTATTGGATTCTCTTAAACCAAATACGACCAGAGAGAGAGAGAGAAGAAAGAAGGTTTTAGTTTGGTTTGATAAGTGTATGAAGCAGCAAGTGAGGGAATAGACGTGGTATATATAAGGAGAAAAAAGATGGGTGATTAAGTTAATTAAATAAATAATAATATTGATTAATAGTTTTTTGTGTGTGTGTGTGAGAGAGAGAGAGAGAGAGATGGAGGATATGGTTGTGGTGGGTCAAAGTGAAATAGAGAGATGATGGCCAGGGAAATAAGAGGAAGGTTCTTTGAGAGAGAAGAGAGGCTAACAGGTTCCGGGGGGGGGGGGGGGTGAGAGAGTGTAATGTTTGCACAGAGAGTTGTGTATGGAGAGGTGATGGTTTGTTAGAGTTGCGGTTGTGTATGTAAGGTGGGACCCACGTAATGCCAAGTTGATGACGTTCACATGACAGGGTGGACCTTCATCTAGTGAAAGTTCATCCCCCCTGTGCTGTTGCAGCTCTTGGATCTTTTTTTTCTCAGCATCCCTCCATGCCCCCTCTCTCAAACTAGCTTAAACATGTTTATTTAATTTTTGAACAGGTCTCATGTGATTTGATAAATAATTAATAAATTTAATTTTTTGTTTATAAACATGCCTAGATCCCTCAATGTTTATGTGAAATTTTCACATGATTATATTTTTTAAATATTTTTTTACTGGTTAAAAATACATGATGAATATAATTTATAATATCCGTTATTTATTTAGTTCATTAAATTGGAAGCCCTGTTTTAATCATAAAGACTTCTATTTTATTTTCAAAATTAATGTAAGATTTTCTTAAAATTAAAAAAATAAGTTACGTACATGTTATCCACGTCTTATCTTCAAGCTAAGTTCTTAAATTTTCTTAAGAATATACTCGTATATTTTAATGCATAGAATTTTTAAAATTTTTTACTATACATGAAATTAAAAACTTTCACCATGTGTGATATAAAATATAAATAGCTCAAAAAACATACTTACCCACACACACACACACACATCTTTATTTATGTTTGGTTATGTGTATAAATCTAAAAATTTTAAACAAATTATAAAACTTATTCGTCTATAGTTATTAGTAAATCTCACACATTTTTTTTAAATCTTTGAACATGCACACTTTTAACTTTTTTCACTAGATTATGAAATAAATATTAGTTAGATAGTATTAAGGATTTGTGTAATTAACATCAAGATATATTTAAATGAATTAGGGACTTATTATAGTAAGAGTTTTATTGGAAATAAGAAAACATTATAATACAACGTTTCTCATTTATTCATTTTCAACATGTTATTTGTTCGCGACTATAGTTTGGTGATGGAAATGAAACACTGGATTATATTATTATGTTTCTCAAATCTCTTTTTATTGTTGTGTTTCGTAATGCATGTCTTCTCATTTTTTTACTCTATGACAAAGCACCTTTTATATTAACCTAGCCCTGAACACTTATCTAATTTTATTTGATAAAGAGATACGTTTTCTCATGATGACCGATCCTTCCTCTCTTGGATGACTTAGGAAAACTCCATATGATGTTCTTGTTATTTGATCAAAGAGTTTTAGGTTAATGTAATTTTCAGTCCGTTAAATTTGTCTCAACAATCCGGTCTTTCATGCTTAATTTTTATTAATGTAATCCCTTCTGTTTACCTTAACTTATCACGTTAGCCATTTAGGTTTTGAAAGACAAGTTGGCCCTCAAGATAACAATGTCAATATGTTTTAATAGTGCCATCTTCTTCGGGTAAATGAGTAAATTATTCATAAATTTTAGATCTAATAGCACCATAAATATTCCTAAACTTATGTATTGTGTAAATTATTTTTTTTATCTTTTAAAAATAGTACAATCTAGCCCTTGCTGTTAATAAACGTTAACTTTAATAACTAGTTAATCAAAAAATAATAGAAAAATTGAAAATGGCCAAAAAAATTTGGGTCCTTTGTTATAATTTTTGGTCCTTTTTCTATCTTTTTTTTTTGTCAACTAACAATTAAAATTAACTTTTATTAATAATAAGGTTCAAATTGCATTCAAAAGTTAAGGGAATAATTTACATAATAAATAAATTTTTGATGTACAGTGATACTGGACCTAAAAGTTTAGAAGGTAATTTGTTCATTCATCCTAACTTCCTCTTAAAATATTGAGGACTACTTAATTATTATTTCTACAAAACGTATATGACTAGATTGATAAAAATTAGACATGAAACCAAATCATTAACTCATAAACTTAAGAGATTAACAATTGCATTATATATCCCAAAATGGGACTATCATTTCTCTTTTTTAATACATTATGAGTGTTTAAGCCTTTAAATTCTACTTACATATCCATATATCCTTCCCTTACGTACCATTTAAGCTAGTCTCAAGTGGCTCTGTCATTTTTTAATAATATATAGCAAAATAAAAACAATTTTGTGGATAGAAAAGATAGTACATGTACATAAATAAAAAAAAAGTACACGATAATCATCGACAAGCATTGGCTATAGTGGCAGAGTCTATAACCAATTAAACACGAGATCTCCAATTCAAATCTGACACAATTAGAAAGCTATATAAGAGAAATTCAAGATAATCATATAATTTTGAAGTACACTATGACAAAATGATCACAGATTTTTCAAAGCAACGTTTTCTAGATTAATTTAATATATTTAAGAGAACAAATTTTTCCAAGGGTGGGTACTAAAATTTGAACCGGAATAGCACATTTTTGTCAATATATAATATAGAGGTTTTATTATGAGAGGAATTAATTGAAAAGGAGATAAACATTGAGGGAAAAGAAAGCCAGGGCCAAGTTGGAGGAAGTTGTGGGGCAATTAATACAAGCTAATGAAGGGCATGGATAGGCATTGAAGGCAAAAGCCTCATCCAACGACGACAGAGAATCCTTGTTGGCTTTTCCATGAAACTTGGTACACTTTGTCGTTTTATCCAGGTTCACCCTCATTGTCTTCCTTCTTTCCTTATTTCCCATAATACAACAAAATAAGGGGACAAACTTAATCATTTTTGCATCCATTTCTGATTCGTCAACAATAATCAAATTAAATTCTTCTACGCATAAAAGTATCAAATTAGTTACTCCCTCCATTCAAATTATAAGATACTTTTAAATAAAATTTCACATATCAATAAATTTTATTAAATACATTTAACAACCTTATCTTTTCCAAAACAAAAAATATAAATTTTTAAAAATACCCATCATTTAATATATTAAAAAGAGAAGTGATGAAAATTAATTATAGTGAGAGAAAGTGTAATATTGAAGTTGATGTATTTAATAAAATCTTAATCTACTTAAAGTGTCTTATATTTTAAGACAATTTTTTTTAAAAGTGCCCTATAATTTTAGACGGAGAGAGTATTTTTTAGCTTATATACATATATACGATTATACTATAATTTATTTAATTTTTTGTATATATAATTTTTAAATATGTCTATGCTATTATAAAGTGTCATTAATTATAATTATTCTTAAATTCATGAATTTTGCAAAATTTTCAATTGACAAATCTCTGAGTTGTTTTATATTGGATCTAGATTCCACATATTATTTATTAGCTGGTCTCTCTCTATAAATTTTCATGATTATTTCTATGTTCTGAAAAAATATATGGAACTAAATAAATAGATTACTAATCTACACCAACATAGCAAAATTAAGACTGTGTCAGCACGCAAGATTTGACAATCGACATACTCTTAAAATAGTAAAATATAACAACAATTTAATTTACACAAAAAGTTTAATTCACATACGTCTTAGATATTGAAATGTGAAGATTAAGATATTAATATTTCTTTTTTTTGGAAGAAAGTGTGCATGCATGAAATTGAGGCTATTTTGGACGATGGAAAACAAATGGCGAGAAGGAATATCATAATTGCGCTTGGCACCACCACCACCACCAACAACAATGACATGTCATACGTGTCAATTCTCAAGTTGGGTGATTTTGTTTGGGAGTATACATGCATGAATTGAATTGAATTAATTGTCTTATAGTGAAAGTTCTAAGGATGACTTGGATCAATCTACATGTGTGAGTGTGTGTGTGTGAATTATATGATCCCATGGTTTTTGAAATGTACGTACGAGCCCCTTTTATTTCCCAGGTGAACAAGTGGACGCGAAATGGCTGTTTTAAGCCAAGAAGTTTCCAATGAGAGGCATCAATTTTATTCTACACGTAGGACGCTCTCCTAGGTCCCACATCGACAAGTGGCTCAAAACCAAGGGCCAATTCCTCCCTGGTTTCGATTCTACACCCCTCGTTTCTTTCCTCATATAATTAGCGGTATGGAATGAAAATTCAGATTAACTTATTCGATTAAATTGATAAATTATTAAACTAGTTTCATAACTAGGTTAATAAAATATTTTATTTATAAATGACTGGTTTGATCACCACTACAGTTTTAATTATTAACTCTTAAATAAGTGTTTTTATTGATTCAATAACCGATTTAATTCTCAATAATAACATGCATTTTGTTTTACATAACAACATACACAGAATATTGGCGCACCCTTTCTTTTTTGTACAGAAGAGGAGAATCTTCTTTGGGACAATAAAGATCAATCTTTTTATGAGATTGGATAAAATATAGATATCAATCTCACTCCCAACTAGTTTTGCTTTATACATATAATTTTTATCTTATTGTTTAGAAGATGAGAGTTCTTGTTATTCAGACAGGAGAATAAGTTAGTGACTAATTAATTAAGCATGTCTTTTTCTATTGCTATTATTCTTCTTTAAAATTTTTGAAGGACTAGGGCAGTTTTGTATTCTACTAGAAGGATAAATGAAGCAAAATGAGATACAACGCAGGTGTCAATTTTTATAATGCTAGTTCTATGACCATTTAAGTATAAGATCTTAGGTTTGAATTCGTGTAATGTAAAAAATGCCTTTTAAAAAGCTATTATAATTGAATTTGATATAGTTGTCAAACTCTCGAATTAACTCTATGAGTTTAATGTTTTTACATTTTCAGCTTATAAAAATTATATCAACTCATTCAT